GAAGGAATACACGAAGTTTCGGGCGGACGCCCATCTTCGTGTAAGAAACAAAAAATCGGTGAGTATAGCCCCCTTTTCTTGTGACGTATACGACCCTTTCTTTGTTTCTCGCCGTGTTTCGTATCTATCACTTGAAGAAGGACGTTCGCCCGAAACGTCGTATTTTCCTTCCCGTTCACGTTTTAGGCAGTGTAGCTGCATCTTTCGTGTTTTTGATTAATTGGTCACCCGGAGGATTACGTCACAAGAAAGGGTGCGTTGATTGAAGGAAAAGGAGGGGAGGCGAAACCATTAGAGGGCACAACCTCTTCGGTTGCCATATATTATTAGAGAAGATATTCACATGCGACGTCATGCATAGTGACAACCAAAAAAAGGGACTTGTAGCTGCGCTCCAATCAGTGATGACACCAGCCACGATTCCGCCCGCGCATACTATGGCCTTGGGAACATTCACGAGTGGCTTGGGGAGGTTGCTCCTTTCTACGCACATTTTATGTGGGTCAGTGACGGCGGAGCAAGCTACTTCAGAAATAGGCACCAACTTCATGAGCTCGCTAAGACCGAGTACCTGTCGGCCAAGTGGCTAGTTTCCGCTACTGGGCATACCAAGAACGCCTGCGATGGGATTGGAGGCCTCGTCAAGCACCATGATGCAACTGTTTACAACCTTCGAGGGCCGGCTACATCAGATATGAAATGTGCGTCAGATATGGTGGACGTCCTCAGCACCAAATTACCCAACGTGGCATTGATTAGCAAGGGCTGACTTTTAGGAGTTCAGTTGAAATGAAAACAACAGCCTGGGATTCCCTCCATCCCGTGCCTGGAATTCAATCCTGGCACTGCTGACAGTGTATAGATGCGTCAACTCACTACGACACGAATTGCTCGTAGCACGAACGATAGCGTCTACAAGCAAGCCACTCGGACAATAAAGGCTCGATTCCACCCAGGCCTGCTGGCAGGCTAGTGCGAAGCGGCTACAATGCGTCTAAGACAAAAATGTGATGAAAAGGGAGCATAAAAAGTCTCAAACAAACGAACTGTCCAGCTCGCTTGCACCTTTGCATTTAATTGCATTATAAACAAACGAAAATCTTTCTTCCTCTTTTTTTTTTTTTTTTTTGCGGTGTGCGGTTCACCACGGCCGAGGCTCTATTGCCGCGCGAAGGTGCCCCTGTTGTGCGGCGCCCTATCCTCAATATCGTGTTAGAGCCCTATATCCTGTTACCTAAACGCCTGTTATCGGAGCCGCACCGATCGTTTCCCCTACGTGGCGTGCGCAGAGACGCTACACGCCCGCCATAGAATGCGGGCCCTGCGAAGCGTGCGACAGGCTAGCGTCTCGCGATTGCTCCAGCTTCTGCGCATTTTTTTGACTCTTGTACTAATAGTAAGGACAAAAAATGAAAGCCGCTTACAACTCCCTGTAACGCCGAATTAGAGCGCAGCTCTTGAGGAGGAGGAGGGAAGGGCACTGGGGGGGGGGGGTTAAACTAACCAGGGGGGGGTCACGTTACCTTGGGGGTCACGTGACCCCCAATGCCGATGATGTCATCACTGACGTCACTGATGACGTCATCAGTGACGATGACGATGCGCGTACCGATGACGTCATTACTGACGTCACTGATGACTTCACCAGTGATGATGACGATGACGATGCGAATGTCGGTGACGTCATCAGTGACGTCGCTGATGACGTCATCAGTGATGATGACGATGACGATGCGGATGCCGGTGACGACATCAGTGACGTCACTGATGACGTCATCAGTGATGATGACGATGACAATGCGGATGTCGGTGACGTCATCAGTGATGATGACGATGACAATGTGGATGCCGGTGACGTCATCAGTGATGATGACGATGACGATGTGGATGCCGGTGACGTCATCAGTGATGATGACGATGACGATGTGGATGCCGGTGACATCATCAGTGATGATGACGATGACGATGCGGATGCCGGTGACGTCATCAGTGATGATGACGATGACGATGTGGATGCCGGTGACGTCATCAGTGATGATGACGATGACGATGTGGATGCCGGTGACATCATCAGTGATGATGACGATGACGATGCGGATGCCGGTGACGTCATCAGTGATGATGACGATGACGATGTGGATGCCGGTGACGTCATCAGTGATGATGACGATGACGATGTGGATGCCGGTGACGTCATCAGTGATGATGACGATGACGATGCGGATGCCGGTGACGTCATCAGTGATGACGATGACGATGTGGATGCCGGTGACGTCATCAGTGATGATGACGATGACGATGTGGATGCCGGTGACGTCATCAGTGATGATGACGATGACGATGTGGATGCCGGTGACGTCATCAGTGACGATGACGTCATCGGGGGGTCACGCGACATCGGCGGGGGTCACGTGACCTCGAGGAGGGGGCCACGGGACTTCGGGGGGTCACGTGACCCCCCACGAGGTCACGTGACCTTGGTGGGGGGCTCGCGCGGTGCATTATGGGACATTTCCCATGATGCACCGCGCGGTTACGCCGACGGCGACGGCGACGGCGACGGCGACGGCGACGGCGACGCCGACGCCGACGGCGACGCCGCTCAAGCCGGAAACGGGCCCCTAAGAGCTGCGCTCTAAAAAAGACGTATCAAGAATCATCACTTCAAAAGTACCCTCCACCTCTGTGCTGTCAATCTGACCACCCGGGAGAAGTTTTACGCTGTGTAAAAATAATGAAATTGTCAAATAGGCGTACGCACAGGCCTCATTCATGGCAACCGCGGTAGCCTCCATTTGGCCAGATTTTCTTGCTTTGTAACTTTAAAGACACAAATAATGCAACATATTTTTGCACATCCTGTTAGTACATATCACTGGCGCTAACTTGAAAGAGTTTGAAAAAATCGAAGATGGCCTTTCTTTTTAAATTGATTTTCAAAATTATGCACATTTACGGAAATGCCTTTATTTGAGCGTTTTTCTTGAACTTTTCCCGCTAACAAGGACAACAATACTTGTCACGAAGATTAGCCAAGTAGAGGATAACACGCTGACAAAGTTTGAAAATCCTGGCTGGAATAAATGCGGAGAAAAAAAGATAAAACTTGAGCTGTACGGCTTATTGTGCAGTCGTCTGTGCGATTTTTTATTTCAAAATAACGACGTCGATACTTCGTGATAAATAATTTGGGTCAATCATTCCCATACTTACTTTGTCGGTAAATATTTCTGGACCAGTAGTCACAACACATTTTGGGGGAAAGTTGCTTGAAATGCCAATGTTGCGAAATCCGCAAACAACGCTTCAGATTGACCAGGTGTTTCTGACTTATTTTTCTTGGAGGCAACCCCGGCCCCCCCCCCCCCCCCCCCCTAAAGAAAAAAAAAAGAAAATAACAACAACAACGACCGGTTCCGTTTTCCTGGGCATTGTGGCAGCAAGATGCATTTTTCTAGTCAGAATTAAAAATGGTCACCGGATATTGTCGACCGTTCTTATCTGAAACACCAGATGCACCTTCCGAATTGTGCAAAGTATATCAAAGCGCGTAGATTAAACAAAATAAATAATGTCTTCGTTGTTTGCTATAATTGTTCACGAGGCCTATTATTGCACTTTTTTTTTTTAATGTGTAGCAATGCGTTCGAAGAAAGTGTGATTTTGTTTTTGTTGGTGAATGTCATTTGTGCTGACATACATGATGATAAGCTACGATATTGAACTGCGGAAATGAAAAAATAATTCTTCTTATTGCACAAAAACTCCCTTCGCGAGATTATGAATTTCCCGAACAAATTACACATGGGGAATTAAATCCCCATGTATCGATTTAAGTTACCTGTGAACAAACGAGTTTTTTTTTTTTTTTTTTTTTTTATTTAGCACGACATACTTCTATCTAATTTTCCGGCATTTATACGTTCGGCATTAGTCATTTGATTACTTGGTGTTTTGAAGTTCACGCCTCTGTATTGTTCCAAACTAACATCCGCAAGGTAGCTCGTAAAGTAAAAAAAAAAATAGCAAAACACACCTAAAATGCCTTCCGAAGTCATTATCTTGTGTAAGTACAAGGACGTTTTGTAAATTTTGGGGGTAAACCTAGGGAGATACAGGTTATCAGTTTGACATAATGTCAGTGTTAGTGTTATCCGATTACCTCATCTTGCGAGACGTTTACTTTTAGAATCTCAATAATTGGCATACTTTTCTAGCAACACACGCAGGACACGCACACCTCAAAAGAGCGAAAGCAAATGTAAAAAAAAAAAAGAAAAAAAAAAAAAAAAAAAAAAAAACGCGGCACGGGTTATCTGCACTGTGTCGCCCGTTGGCGAAGACAAAACGCCAACAGTCCAAATGGACTCAGATGTGCGTATTTCGATGCCGCTCTTACCTCCGCGGATTCCCGTTTTGTCCCGGAGGCATGCGGTTTAGAAAAGCTCCTTTTAGGGAACGCCGTTTTATCGATATCAGTTTATCCAATCGCAGTTTAGAGAAAATGACGGCAGCCGGGGTGCCGTTTCCGATACGAGCGATTCGGAGGAGGAATAATGGCAGGTCACGTGACCCGACGTCACCGGAAGTGACGTCACAAATATAACGTCACGTGACAAAGAAATTTTGTTTTGCTTGTTTTTGTTTGTTTTGTTTTCTGTGACGTCACGGTTTTTAGCGAGGAACCTTTTTTTTATTTTTACTTTGTTGACGTATTATTTTTTTTTTATTTTGTTTATTTTCTTGCTTTTTGCAACCGCGGGACCGCGTTTCTGCGCTTCAGATTGCGTTTTTCCGACTCCTTTGTTTGATATCGTGACGTATCGTCGTATTTATGTAGTTATCAGGAACGGCAAGGCCTACGTTGTTGCGTCCTTTACCTGAATATCGTGACCGAATCGAGTGTCGTCGATTTGAATCGTGTCTTGCGAACCATCGTCGAACAAAAGGTGAGTGATTTGCGTTTTCCTGTGATGTGATTTCGATGTGTTCGTTCCACGTGTCCGAGCTGCTTCTTCGTTTCAAATACATTTGGCGCCGCTGCCTATTGTTTGAGCCTGTGCTCACGATGAAAACACGCATCGCAGAAACCTGAAAGCCCGCCAAAAGAGCTCTAAAAACCGCATCCCAGACCTGCCGGCAGACTTCCGAGCTAAGCCTGATTAAACAAAAACGTTTGATCCGGCGGAATAATGTGTTTGATATTACATCCCATGTCAACAAGGAACTGCGCTGTCTGTCTTCGCCCCCAACAGGTTTTATTCTTCCGGGTTTTTCAAATCTTTACCAACCCGCGTCCGATCGTAATACCCCGATCACAACAAATAGTTGATCGTGCTCCGATGGCTCCAAACATCAGCCGGCAAGGAAGTTACCTTTTTTCGCTTCTATATTTTGACCCAAGTAAACTCATGTTCTCAAACTATGTCATTCTGTCACCACCTCCAGTTGCACATTCTGGCGCACTTGCAGCCTCGTGCACCCTTGCGAGGTTTCCTGCTATCGTACCCTGGATATCATGGATTTCTCGCCGTACGCGAGTGCTCACGGAGGCGTGCTATACACTCTGTATCATAAGTTGTGTGCAGCAGAGGCGCAGGCCCGAGCACATGACAGTAAAAAGCGCCTTTTTTTGCACGAGTACCCGCGCAAAAGGACATTCTGCAGAGCTGTGCCCTCGCACCCGTGCCTTTGCTGCACACAACTTACGAGGCAGTATAATAACCGAGCCGTTTTTGTTTCTTTTGCACATTACTGTGAAAGAAGTGTCATTGCTGTTTTCTTCTCAAAGAAAACTCAGAGACGTTAGACAAAAGCAAACAGATAGGAGACTGCACATTCATATGTTTTTCCCCCTTGTGCTACAGGTGATGGCTGGTCGTGGTTCATCAGCGTTTGTTTTGAAACTGATGGGTACCACAAGGCATGAAGGAGGTGACTTGCAGCAGCAAGGCACTGCAAGCCTTCGCAGCAACTGGCTAGCCAGTGCTGCTCTGTTCTGAACTGCACTGCGTGTCATGCGGAGGTTTTGTGCAAGCTCTCTGGGCGGCGACGCTAGCCACGGTAAGTGCATTCTATGCAGCTTCCTTTTAGGGATATATGTGGCTCGCAGGCCATGTCGTGCCAGCGAAATATGTGCCACCCGAGTGACAGCAGTGCTAGTGGCAAGGCTGCGCTGACAGTAATCAACACTGCACTGTGTTTTCATTCAATAACTAGTGACAAGGAACCAAATACTCCCGAGAGAGTCTCGGTTGTGCTTTGATAAACTCCAGCTCGCTTATGAACAGGTGGATGGCACAGATGGCTTTTCCTGGTGGACTTGGTGTCCGTGTTAACATTGCAACCAGACTTTCTTTCAGTTTGTGGCGTTTTTTCGTTGCGGGTGACCAGCATTGCAGTAGAAAAAGATGCAAAATAGTATAATGTTTGCATTCGTTACCTAAATTAATGGCAAGAACAACTGATATACATTTCCACCGACTGCATTTCTCGGAGGAATAGCCTGGACTAAAAAGCTCGCTACACTATGTCGTTCCCTCTTCGCCTGTACAACTCTGTGTCTTCCCTCGATCGTCTTATGTGGCTGCTTCTGTGTCTGCCTAGGCGCTCGGTTGAAATGGGGAAAACTGTCTGCGTTGCACATAACCGCCATTAGAGCCAGCGTGGGCGTAGCTGGGGTAGCCCCCACTATGGCTTCTCCAGCTCGACACAAGTAACATTCCTACCGCTGTTGTGTTAGCAGAAAACAGACCTGCTTAAAGCGTACAGTGCACATAGCACACAATGGAGAGGTTGCTCGCCAATCATTTTCTTGGAAGTGTGAGTTGAGCCCTTTCGAGGCAGTTTGCTTCCGCACCGTGCACTATAATCCGCCCGAGAAGAGAAAACAAGATGAATAAGGCTTCTTGACGCAGAAAAAGACTAGGGAGCCAGTATTGTTGCTTTTTTGCTACCCCGTGCGAGACTCAAACCCGACATGCAAGGAAGTGGAAAGGCCTCTTCCTTTCTGCTTTCTTGTGCCTTGGGTTTTAGCTGTGTTCAGAATTCACAGCTCGCCTGCATGCCTACTCTTTTGTTCACTGTGTTACTGAAGTTTTCTGTCGTTGCTGTCCCAGATTGGCTTCGTGGATGCACAGAAATACTCAAGGCGCTTGACGTCTGTGGCTCATCTGTATTGTTTTTCCCGGTACCACGGCATGAAGGAGCTGGCCTCCCTCCCTTCCATCAGCTGCGAGATACTACAAGCACTGGGCTACAGCTGCAGCTAGCCCATGGGTACCGTTCTGCGTCCTGTACTGCATCTAGTTCGAAAGGCCATGTGAAAGGCAGGTGTGGTCTTTATGGGCTCTGTCACTATGTGCATTTTCTGCAGCTTTTTCGGGGCAACTTCATATTAAGATTCAATACGGACTCGAGTGAGAGGGGGGCATTCTGAGAAAGCCAGCCTCTTTGTTAAACCATTGGGACTGGTATTATATCTACAGAGTTTATTTACACCTTTTGTTATGTACTTTTGTATTTATTTTTATTTTACTAGTTACTTATACTTCAATCTGACACGACAGCCACCAAAAATGGGGAAAGGACAAAAATGTTGACATATTGGCCTTTTTGTTTTCTGGCAGTTTGTTTGAAGAGCCAATGTTGGGGGCCGCCATTCGTGCTATTTTTCCCACACGCACGTCCAGCCTATGTTTACGTAAAGCCCCAATTGCCCCTTAGCAACAAAAATAATTTATGCGACAGACTAGGCGGCAGCATTGTGGACGAAAACAGGCCAGATTATATCTGCCATGTTTAAAAACTACATTCGGTGACAGGTTATGAATTCAGTGGCAAGAATGCACACCGCCTGCCAATCACTGCTGTCAGTTGTCGTGACGTCACGTCCTGCTAAGAAACTAGTATATATTTTTTTTAAATGGCAGGTTTTGGTTGCTGATGCCTCGTAGCACGTCAGCACTCTAAGCAATTCTTCTGCTCTTGGCCTCTCCGGTTTTACTTTGCAAAGTCATGACGGCGTCTGCTTTTGTTTGCGGTATTTCCCGTGTGTCGACGTGAGAAGGCAGCGATTGTATCGCCAAGGAAGTAGCGATCAATCTGCGCATTTATTCCAGCGGCACAGCGTTTACAAACCGGACTTTGCCCTTCACCGAGGGGAAAGTCTACCGACTGGCCCTACAGTTGGCGAGCATTGTGCAGCCGTGAGCGCGTAACTTGTCCGAATGCTTTCGTCTGTATACAGTGACAAAATGACTCGCTGAAATGTGAAGTACCATACAGTACCATGCCGTACAGCAAACCATCGATCACTTGCTGCAGCAACTTTGCGTTTTAAGTCGTAATAATAAAGTGATTTTTAGGCTAAAATCATTTTTTCATACTGCTCAATTATTCGGAATTCTGCACGATCCCCATCGGGTCTGCAATATCGGTCGGTGGCTGTATAACCTTTAAACACAATGGTTACACACCACAGGTACCGGGGACCATGACATCAGTGAGCTGGCTTTCACCTTGTCCAAGGCAGCAGCGGAACACTACGGGCGGGACCCTGGATCACTGCACCATGGATGCCGTCCTGTACCCTGCACGGCACTGCGTGTGGCTTAAGTGGCCAAGCAGAGGGTCATTGCATGACTTTTATGAGGCGCCGCTAGCCATTGTAAGTACATTTTGGACACTCATGTCTGGTGATGTACTTTTGTGCTCTACCGCAGAGCACATTTGGTGGCGGTTCAGTCTTGCCAATTACACCATTTTGAAACGGAACACATTTAGTGGTGGCTCGGTTTAGGTTTCCTGGCTCGGTGATCTTGCAACAGTGTCTAGACTTGGCGTAAACCTTTTTGTACTTCATTGTCAAGGCTAGTGTAATTTCTGCAATGCCGTTGAAGCCACTTCTGCACGCAAACAAGATAAAAGTCGAAACCACATGCTCGTGCACAGTGTATGACTACATGTATGCATGGGCACTCGTGCCCATGCGTACCCACTCGCAACATGGAGCATGTTTGTTTCGGCCGACACTCCACGCGTTCATTTCGGCGTCGCCACTCCACACGTCTATGCACTCGCTGCACCTTGAGAATCAAGTGTGCACCAGAATGCACTCCCGTCATGCATCACTCGGGAGAGGAACAAGAGCAGACGACTGGGGTTTTTCCGCCATAAGGAACGAGAACCGAAAAAAAGGGGATTTTCTGCTAAGAAACTGCGTCCCACGGGCAGCAAAATCGGACGCGAGCTGGGCTATTTATTCTGTGAAGCAAGCAATCGACAACCTGTGCTTCATTTTCAATTTTTCTTTCAGTTTGTTGCCACACACTTTTTTATTTTATTTATTTATTTATCAATACTGCCGGCCCAATATTGGGCCAAGGCAGGAGTGGGGTGATACAGTGTCATACCTGCAAATTATAAACACAACAGTTCTAAACAAAAAGCAATCTTAGCACTGAAAAATATCTACAACTTAATCGAAAGAAGAAAATCAATCAATATCAACAGTAATACAGTAACCAAATGTAAGGCTAGTAATAACAGTAGCAGTAAATGTAACAGCAGTAATAACTAATAAAATAAAAACAGTAAAAATAATGTCATAACAGCAATAAATGCAATCTTAGCACTGAAAAATAATATCTACGGCTCTTCCGAAAGAAGAAAGTGAATCAATATCGATAACATCACCGGGAAGGCTGTTCCAAAAATCAATTGTATGCACAAAAAAAAGATTGTTTATAGCTATTTATTCGAGCTTTAATAGGGGCTACGGTCTGTGAGTGATGCAAGCAATCCGAGTAAAAACTTTTTGTTTTTAGGTAAATCACGCTATCAATTTTTATACTACTCTTGAAAATCTGAAAGAACAGCTTCAAACATTGGCTCTCTCTTCTGTTTGACAGCGGGCTTATATTGGCTCTCCTTTTACGTTCGGTCACAGACATAGTTTGTCTGAAATCTGAAAAAACTATATGCACTGCTAGCAATTGAATATCTTCGAGTTCACTGACCAGAGAGCTCTGCCATGGGCTCCACACTCCAGACACATATTCTAACACAGGTCTAATAATTGTCTTATAAGCAAGAATTTCAACGGAAGGGGGAGATTTACCCAGCGTTCCCCTCACGTACCACAATTTGTTAGTTGCCCGCTTCTTAACATACTGTACATGCCTTTTCCACCCAAGGTCACAAGACAAAATCACTCCCAAATATTTGTAACTGTCTACTTCAGTCAATCCTATGCCAGCAACCTCATAGCTAAAATTTAAGATAGTTCTTTTTGTTGTAATATGCATGTACTGAGTTTTGCTAATATTAATATCTTCATGTTATTTTCATGACACCAAGACGCAATGTTAGCCAATGCGTCACTCACTTTTATCTGGTCTGTAAAGTTTATATTCGTCTCGTCTCGTGACATGAAGTCGCTCGTCTTCGGGTCTGTGCTGACGGCGTTGTCGCCGATTGCCAGTCGAGGGTTTTAGTGATGTCGGGATAATAGACTTAGGGTTGAATAACTTGGCTTAATATACAGGTGTTATACACAAAAATTACAGCATAGTTAGAGTTCGCTAGTTCTCAAAACTCAATGGCCTCTGCCGTCTAACTCTCTAAGTGACACCCCTGCACTTTATCCACTTGATTTTTTTCCGCATCACTCTTGATGGGCCTTTTATCTCAACTCCTGCTGCATCGCTCTCGATGTGTCTCCTCTCAAGTCTCTCAGTCAACTCCCCCTTCTCAACTCTCCCGCTCCCAACATAGCTACCCTCGTCTCTCTCTTTCACTCTCTCCCTCTAACTTGCATTCTCGTCCCTGTGGTAGGGCTACACATATCCCGACAAGCAAAATAATAAATGAGTTCAGTTGGCGCTATCCAAAACAAAACGGCCCTCCGCCGCCGACTCTGTAAACATTCCAATCATAGACCCCTACAAACGCATTTACAAGTCCTTAATATACCTCTCATGTTTACAATAGCCGATTCCCCGTACAACCTAGAAAGGTCGACAACACGGGATGGGACATGCCATCAACGGCATAATGCGGCACAATGTGCGTCAAGGGCAGCTAAAATAATACAAAGTACCTTTGTAGGCAAAGAAGTTATATGCGGAGTTCTATATAAACAGGTGTAAGGTTATAATGTTCACGTTGGCGCCTCCACTTGGGGCCCATCGACCCCGGGAGGGGGCACGCAAGGTGTAGTAAAGATGCTCGAACCCCCGATGAAGGCAAAAAGATACAAAATTACGCAACACGCCCCTTTAACCGAAATGATAACATAAAAAAACAAGATTTGCGAGCCTCTGCTCACGAAACGCCCATTGTTTTCATTCCACAGTGCAACTCCTCCTGTAATACTGCTTTATAAAACTAAGCATCCGAAGCAGACACGCACAAGTAAAATGCTCTGAATACAATAAACTTTTTTTTTTTTTTTTTTCACATTCTCAATGTTTAGGTTTGTAAAAATAAAAGAAAAATCTTTGCGACTACATGTTCAGTGGAGAAGCAGATCGCAAGCCTTGGCAGGGCACTACATTCTGATCATAGTGCCCATAGATACGCGACAAGGCGTCCGCATTCGAATGCAAGCAACCCTGTTTGTAGTCTATCTTAATCTGGTAGGCCTGCAGCAACAGGCTCCAACTTTGTAGACGGTCATTGTTCTGCCTGCTGTTGTTTAGCCATCGGAGCGCGTTGTGGTCCGACTGGACTGTGACATTTTGTCTATCAACATACACATGAAAATGTTTCATGGCCCACACAATTGCCAGACACTTCTCAATTGTTGCATACTTCTTCTCACAAAGAAGTAGCTTACGGCTGGCGTACGCAACGGGGTGCTTGACGCCCTGGCTAGTTTGAGCTAGAATGGCCCCGATCACCCTGTTGCTAGCGTCTACTTGGAGTATATAGGGTCGACTCGGGTCTGGGCTCCGCAGCACTGGACTGCTGCATATTCTCTCCTTCAGTGCGCTGAATGCGCTCTCGCATGACAGCGTCCACACTACTTGCTTAGGTTCAGCCTTATGTGGGAGGTCGGTCAGCGGTGCGGCCAGCTCCACGAAGTTGTCAATGAAATTCCGGTAGAAGTTAACTAGGTCCAAGAAGGAATGGACTTCTGTCTTCGTGTGGGGCCTCTCGATCGCCTGGATGGTCTCAATCTTTTCAGGGTCAGGTTGTGCTTGCCCATCCCTAATCACGTGCCCCAGGTAGTGCACTTCCCACCTCCCAAACTGGCACTTGTTTATTTTTTAGAGCCAGGCCTTCCTGACGCAACTTCTTTAGGATGGTGCACAAATGAAGCAGGTGTTGCTGAACACCTGCCACGTGTTGCTGAACACCGCTATGTCATCTAAGTATGCCCGAGCGAAGTCTCGGTGCTCTTTCAGGAGGTCGTCCACCAACCTTTGGAATGTCGCCAGTGCTCCTTTCAGTCCGAACGGCATCACCGTAAATTCGTACAAGCCGGTGTCCGTACGGAATGCTGTCTTAAAAAAAGCTTCCTCTGATAAACCGATTTGCCAGTAGCCTTGGGACATGTCAAGGGTGCCGATTATTTTGGCTCTCCCCACAGTCTCAATCATCTCAGGGAGTGAAGGCATGGGGTAGGCATCATCCTGTGTTGTCGCGTTCAGCTTCCTGAAGTCGACACAGATCCTCATGCTGTTGTCTTTCTTCACGCATACTATCGGGGATGCCCACGGACTTGTCGATGTCCGTATGATGCACCATTTCCAGCATTTCCATCAGTTGTTCCTGTACCCCCACCTTGATACTGTACAGAACCCTGTACGCTTTCAACGCAATCGGGTCGGCGCTCTTTGGGATCTCGTGGTTCTACCTGGCCTATCGTCGAAGACATCACCGTAGGACCGAATCAACTCGTCCAGTTCTTGAACCTCGTGAGCCTGAACTTCAGCGTCCATGTTCAGCCCTCCGCTTGACCCGTTCTCTCGGGTCCGTACATCAAAACACGCCATTTCGTCACCAATTTCGTCGGGTGCTTCCATTACAAAGGACATCTCTCGGGTAACGTTTTCGGTCATGACCGCTTTTATTTGATACGGGTATTGAAGAAGTCTTGACAAGATCATTAGAGAAAAACCGAGTGACTTGCGGGAGCCACTGGTTTCCCTCCCCTGAGAAGGTGTAAGCTGCAGACATTCCGGCCGGAGTCGCCTGGCTTCGAGTCTGCTCGTTCTGTATCATGTCGGGGAGAGTATGCCACCCTTCTGGCCTACTCTCACACTTCCCTACACGTTTCCCGTTTTCAAGGGACCAGCCAGATCACACGGGACGGTCCCTCCTCCGAGTGGACGTTGCCCGGAGTCCTGAAGTGGACTCCGGGCGACGGGTAGGGTGCGAAGAGATCCTATGAATGCTATGCAATTTAGAACACCTTTGGGAAATGCCAAAGAAAGCTATTTTTTTGTGGATGTGGTGCTGTCTGTTGGATTTTTCGCTAGCCATTGTTAAACTCCCAGAACTCTGTGCCGAAAAACTGAGGGAGAGGAGGAGACAAGAGTGCGGGGACGTCAGAACGCAGATCTCTGATTGGAACGATTAGTGGGTAGACCTAAAGCTAGCTGCCTTTGTCTGTTCTGCACATGCGGAACGACGGTGTCTGGCTTTTGGTTTTTGCATTTGAATGCGTTCGACGAGTGCAGTGGAGACAAAGATAGCTTCTGTCTCTGCTGCAGTCGTCGAACACATTTGAAGATGGAACGCCGGCATCCAGCGTTTTGTTCTCTCATTCGAACACGTTAGAACGCGGAACGCTGGTGTCCAGGGTATGGCTTTCACATTCAAACGCCTTTGATGAGTGCAGTGGATACAAAGGCAGCTAGGTCTACCCTCTAATCATTCCAACCAGAGCTCTGTATTCTGACGTCCCCACATGCTCTCG